ACTTGCATATATATGTATAGCAATCAACTTGGGGCTTTCTTGGTGAAGAATTTCAGCAATAATAGAGACTAGATAATACCACATTTTAATATTTAAGTTGACTCTTATTTTTCCCTATTTTGTAGAGGCAAATATTAAAATTCTAGAAAAAAATTGAAGAAAGTTTTTGTAATATGTAACTATTTAATTACCCAAAATGAATTGTATAATTTAAATTTACCCTTATTAAAATTGCTATAAAATATGCTCACCTCCCTGTTTTCATTGCAGAATCACCCTGCCCCCAAACTGAGTTAACTTAGCCAAAATTAGGCTAATACAAAATATTCTAGTAGTTTATTTCGTGGAAACTTTCATATTTCAGTCATCATTAGTGGATAAAAGAAAAATGAATATATTTCCATGTCTAGACACATCATATATATGTTCTCGTGTCTGTTCTTCCTGATAAAGTCTTAAAAAAAACTCATATTGAAAATAAAATAAAACCTACTATATTAAAATTCAAGGTAGAATAGGCTATTGTTTTATTGATAAATTTTAATATTACTATTTGATGTAGCGAATATACTAATTTAAATTTAAAATAAATTAATTTTAATGTTATCTTACAGTCTTATTTGTTCCTATATTTATTAACACATGCTTATTAGTTTGTGACTGCATAGTGTTTGGGTAAAAACACAAACCTCAAAGATATTTGCTGATGACCTTTCTTTGGTTTATGAAACAACAGACCTTCTCCCCATATTGTCTTTTCAGATGTAAAGTTTATACTATTAAATTTTAAAATACTTATTAATAGGAAAAAATCATGAGTGAATATTTTTCTCTCAGATTAAGTACCAATCATGTTATCAGTATTTTTTAAAATCGACTTTAGAGAGACAGAAAGGGAGGAGAGAGAAACATGTATCTGAGAGAAAAACATTGATCGGTGGCCTCCCATACAATCTGACCAGGGATCAAACCTGCAACCTAGGTATGTATCCTGCAACCTAGGTCCGGGGGGAAGTGAACCCCCAACCTTTTGGTTTATGGGACAGTGCTCCAGCCAACTGAACCACCTGGCCAGAGCTATCAGTATTTTAAAAAATGAAGTAATAAACCTGGTTTTTTTTTCCAGTTTCATTGAGAAAGAATTGGCATGCATCACTGTATAAGTTTATGGTATACAGCATGATGGTTTGATTTACATATATTGTAAAATGATTACCACAACTGATTTAGTTAACGTTCATCATCTCACATACATACAATAGAAAGAGAAGAAAAATCATTCTCCTTGCCATGAGAACTCTTAAGATATATGCTTTTAAAGATTTTTTCTGTATATTACACAACAGTGTTAACTATAGTCATCATCTTGTACATTACATAGCTAGTACTTATTTCTTATAACTAGCACATGAAGTCATAAGCCTATTTTTAAATCCTCATCTGAGGATATGTTTTTTATTGATTTTTCTTTTTTAGAGAGAAGAAGGGACTGAAGGAGAGAGAGAGAGAGAGAGAGAGAGAGAGAGAGAGAGAGAGAGAGAGAAAGAAACACACACTAATGTGAAACATCTAACGGTTGCCTCCTGTACACTCCCAACTGGGAATTGAACCTGCAACCGAGGTATGTGCCCTGAATGGGAATCAAACCCACCAACTTTCAGTGTATGAGACTGTGCTTCAATCAACTGAGCCACCTGGCCAGGGTGGTGCTAAGCCTATTTTTAAACTAAAACAAATTCATTTTACTATCTTTGTAGTAATTGAATAATTTGATTCAACCCAATCTATGAAATCTTTCCTCCTACTCCCTATTATCTACTGTCTAATCTGGTTGAGTCGTCCTTGTGAATTTCTACCTATGTGCCTTTGAATATCCATACTGGATTAAAAATGGCCACACTTTTTTTTTTCCTCCAATCTCTCATTGAGGTGTCAATTTTATCTCTGACCCCCTCCCTTGATTCAGGGCTGGTTCTGGACAATTGCAGAAGTGAGGCTGTACTAATAATGGGCCTTTAAAAGGATTTGGCAGATTTGTTTTCTCTCTCTTGGAACACAGATTTTTGGGAGGTTCCCTTTGGGGTTTCAACTACTGTGCTTTGAGAGAAGTTCAGGTCACACGGAGGGGCCATGTAGAGGAGACCCGAGGGGCTATAACCAACTCCCCGGATGAATTTACAGCTGACACTCAGTGCCAACTGCCAGCATGTGAGGGTGTTGATTGGTGCAGCCAATCAACCCCCTGACCCCAAACTACATCACATGTAGCAGAACCACCCAGCAGCGCCCATTCAAATGCACAGAATCCTGAGAGATAGTCACATAGTTGTCTAAAGTCATGCAACCTTGGAGTACAGCCATAATTAAAGCAATATTCTTCTGCTTCTTTCAGTTAGAGCTTAAGCTTGGTTCACGTCAACGTTCCTACAAACAGCTAAGCTTTTGTACTTTATTCCAATTGCCTTTATGTCAGATTTTCGAGTGGGCTTTAAGTTATTCAGGGTCATAGATATTACTCTATTTTCTTTCCCTGTGTCCTTTAGAGGTATTAAATCATCGCTAGGCACATGGGACTTTGGAGGTTGCCCATTGAATCATAACAAAATGGAGGAGCAAATGGAGGTCAAAAGGGTGTCTCTGGATGTAAGACAAATTTAAAAGACATAAGGATTTTGATTAAACCAATTTAATAACCAATTTAAAGAGAGGTGGTGTATTAGTGTGTATGCATTTAATCTGGATTATTTGAACAAAGGGATTAACTGTCATTGAGGAGTTTTTTGTTTGTTTGTACACTCAACCTAAATATCAATTCTAATTAGAAGTATTGACATCTGTTGGAAGTTTACACGTGGAATTGTGAAAGAAGACCAGATCGGAGGCAAATTATGATCCCCAAAAATTAAATTTAACAGATGGGGGTGGGGGGAGTGATCATCTGGAAATACACTGTAAAAGCAGGGATGAACATAATTATTTTTTCCTTCCGGTTTCGACCATGTATTCTTCATGGACTTTATGTGGAAAGTAAGTTATTGTAACCATTTACTGCAACTAATGTTCAACAAAAGCGTATTGTTTGTAAGAGTACTTACTAGTGGAACAGTAATAATGAAGTACAACTCAAGTCAAAATCTGGATTTCGTAAGTAAAAGAATGTGTTTTTGTGAATGAATACTTTTTGTTAAGGTTTAAAGAAACTGATATTATTAAAAATGTAAGGGATTTTTTAATATTTTAATTCCTAGAGCACTTTTGAGTTCTTTTACTTTATAATTATTAATTACTATCCATAAGAGAGTACAAATTGAATATACAGGTGTCCCCAAAAATGTATACACACTTTAACAGCTGACAGAGCAATTTTGGAAATGAATGATATTTTAATAAGCACTGCTTTTATGAATATTTAAAGTGTGTGTATGCATTTTTGGTACACCCTGAATTTAAATAATTTTCCAAAAACCTTTGATTGAAGATCAGATGACGCTCCCAGCAAATCTCTCCCAGATCTATTGCTTGCCAGGATTCATATTTCTGTCTCAGAACTAAGCTTGCTAAGAGAAAGGAGGTTAGAAAAAAAATGCAGAGTACAAAAGGCTGTGTGTGTGTGTGTGTGTGTATGGTGGTGAGGAATTATGTCCCTTGCACTTTAGATTATGAAGTTCCACTTGTTAAATTGAAAGGTAACTGGTCTTTATCTAAAGGACATATTCAAAAACATTTATTGAATGTGTTTGTATACTCTTGAAATGCAAGTGATTCACAAAAACAAGTATTTCGGCACAAAGCTTTATTCATGCAAACTGTTCGAATACATTTACAATGTAAAATGTGAGGAGTTGAAGGCATAACACACTCACATCTCTGTCTTGAGTCTCAAGTGAGACAGGGAAAGAGAGCTTAGAAGTAGGAGGCAGAGGGAGGGGGAGGAGACAAGGAGGGTGGGAGAGAGAGGAAGAGAGGGAGGAAGGGAGAAAAAACCATTGTGGATCCCACAGTCTCATCTATCCCAAGCGTGTGAGCATCGCATCTAGGTTGTAACAAAGAGATGGTCGAGTCCTTTCTTTTTAGTTGTAGACAGGCCGACACAGCGGGCACTGTGTGCATGTCTGTCGCCTCCTCAAAGCCCCCATTCCTTCAGGAGTCACGAGCTCCGATCCAGAGAGGGCCGCCCGGGGCACAGTGTTAGGCGCACCGATCTCTTGGAGAGGCCGCCACAGGTTCATGCGCTTGCGGTCAGGGGTCAGGGGTCAGGGACGTTGGTGCATCTTCAGTTAGGGAGACTAAGGAGTCCCTTTGGACAGACTTATCTCGATCCCCCACATTTTCCGGGGGGATCGTGGGAGGAATGTGAGGGACAGGTAGCCCGTTCATTAAGGAGCGCGGGGTGCGGAGGAGCAGAGCCAGGGAGGAGCGGGGTGGCACTGCCAAATCTTAACTGGGGCCCCTGGTGTTTGCAGACCCAAGTACGGCCGCCCTGGTCTCCATGGTGCCGCCGCAGAAGCCGCTGCCCGAGAACTCTGAACCGCACCCCTGCCTCGGTTGGGGATCCTCTTCCTCCTCCTCTCCCACTACGTACCTGGCCTGAGCTGCAGGGCACGCCGCCCGGGGAACCCCTCTCAGCGGGACCTGCTCAGCCACCGTTCGCCTCCGCCCCCTGCCGCTGCGCCCGGCTGGCCCGGCTGGCAGGCACCATGGAGGAAGCCAGGGTAAACCCACGAGCAGCCGGTGACTATCCCTCCGGAATCTCTGGCCTGGCCCCTTTGGGGTGAGCCGAGCGGGGAAGGTGCTATCTCAGCCGGTCCGAAGTTGCCCAGAAAAGGCCTGGTAGAGAAAGAGAGTATCCGCGGAGGCTGGGAGCTCCAAGTCCTCTTCCAGCTGCGCCTTTGCCGCCTCCTTTTCCTCCACCCAGGTTTGTTTATATAGGATCTGGGAGCTGGGAGGAACTGCCCACCCCCTGCAGGCGCCCCCCCGCCCCCCCTTCCAGGGCTCCCACACGTGGTCGTGGTCGACATCAGCACCTTCTCAGCAGAAGGCAGGAGGCTGCGAGCGAGGAGCAGCGCTGGGGGCGAGCTTGGCGCATCCTCAGGGTCTGCTCCCCTCCCCGGCGTCCTCACTCACTGCAATCCCAGCTCCGACTGGGTTTCGCCACCCTCCGTCCCCTTCCCCCAGGGGAGATTGAAGACCGCGCTCTTTCGGCGCTCCTGGCGCTTCTCTGGGTTCGCTCAGTGGCCGGAAAATAATGGTAACATGAACAGCGGAGCGTGAGCGCGTCGCCGTCACCGGGGAAGGAAGAGATTGATGGGCAGAGAGCTTACTTCAAGGAATCACATTCCTGGGGCTGCGCAGGGGAACCGTGGGCGCCTCCGCCTCCTGGCTGCGCGCCGCTGACATCTGTAGCCTCCGTTCCCTCGGGCTCCCAGGTCGCCAGCCTCTGCCTGCGGAGGAGCATTGACCGGAGTTGGTGCGCCTCCATCCGAACAGGAGTTCTCCCGGAACCCGCGCGTCCCCGCATCCATCCCAGCTGAGCGCCCACCAGCACGCTGGCTTCGGAGGGAGTTGAACTTGAGTTCAGGTGGGTTATTCCCCAGGGGAACATAACAGGCGATGTTCCAGGAAGACGGGGAAGGTGATGCTGCAGTGTCCAAAGCGGACACTTCTCTTCCTAACACTTGCTGGGCTGAGCCGCTTGCTCCCACATAGTTTTTACTCGCTCCTCCTCAACCCAGCCCTCCACACTAAGGTGGGGAAAAACCACGCACACGCACACACACACCAAAACTCCCGTTTTCTTAAGTATCTAGCATGCCATTGACTTCTCATAACTTACGATTAGTCTATGAAACCATTATATTTACTCCATCGCTTTACATTAATGGGGGTCAATAGGCTTAATGATTCCCTCAGTCAAGTCATTTACTTCTAAGCCAATAGATAGTGCCCTCGTCATAGTTTTCTGGGTGGGGGGGAAAGTAACTGTGCGTTTGTTCTGCAGATGCCCAACTCCCTCTGAATCGTGCAGATTGGTGCTGAGCACGCCACAAAAGTTTGTAGCTTCTCCGCAGTTCCTGGTGCTTGGCAGGGGAGAGGAAAGGACTGGCATTCAACACCGGGAGCAGTCAGGGAGCCATCTCCTTTAACTTTTCTTACCTGTTATCATTTGCAATGAAGAGGAAACAGAAGAGATTTCTGCAGATGACTTTGTTATTCATGGTGGCTTTAATATTCCTGCCCAACATTGGTCTCTGGTCCCTGTACAAGGATAAGCACCTGGTGAAATCCACGGAGCCTGGGGAGCAGCAGGTAAGTGCCACCCAGAGAAAGATCACAGGAAAGCTGGTAAGGCTTGTTGCGACCCTTGGGTGGGGGTGCGGGTGGGGGGTGCGCCAGGAAGCAGGTGGATTTTTCTCCCAAGTCTTTACAGAACTGACATGACCAGACTCTACTTTGGGTTTTAAGCAAGTAGTTGTTTTCAGATCACAGTCAATGACATGGTGAAATGTAAAATGAACTTGAAAAGGAGGGTAAGAGAGCTCAGGAAGTAAAGATAATCTTTCACAGTTGGTCTTCAACGTTGATTTTGTTTTGATCTGGGTGAAAGGTAAGTGCTTATTTGTGGGATGTGGGAGTAGGTTTGGTGCAAGTTTATCAGAGATTTGTCTTTGCCTCTTATCTGCTTTGGGTGTGTATATTGAATTGGGCAAAGTAAAGCATTAAAGTAGGGAAGTAGTGATTAAAAAACAAACTACAGCTTTCTATATTTTGGGTTGTTATTTTTGCTTAGCAACAGCTTTTTACCCTTGGGGAACTTAACGTCTCTGTGTCTTCTCCCCTGTTGCTAAGGTGGTCCCGTGGGGTATACACAGGCAGAGTTAGCAAGCATGTCCCTTCAGTTTCACAGTCTGGTGATAACAGTTTGTTGTTAAAAGCTTTCCCTCAGATCGTAAATACCATGTAGTATGGTATGCTTTCTTTTTACTTAGTATGCAATCCATTAGTATGTGCATTGCTGTTGCCTTAACATGGATCAAAATAACTATCTTTCTTAGTGAGCCTTCACAAAACACCCTTCACAAAATGTTGATGAAATCCAATATTGTTGAGTTAACTGTTTGTTAATAAGTGAAACGGTTCCTGTAATTAAACTTTTAACAATTGACTGCAGCCTTCTTTATGACATTGATATAACACTTTTCCAGTTAGTCCTGTTGCATCCGCTCGGAATATTAATATTTTTAATTTCAAGGGTCATCACCCATGTACACTACATACCTTCCACATATAGAAGTGCTAAAGTCCATTGGTGAACAACATAAATATATATAGTAATGGCAACTAAATATTGGTTCTTAGACTTAACAAAGTTTAATTTCTTTTTACACAGTGAGTGGTTAGTTGGTGAAATATATGGAAGTAATCTGCTTTTTCATTATGACAAGTAATCATTACCGGTTGCTAAACTCTAAAGATAACTAGTTGCTTATGGATTTTTGTAGATTGGAATTTTGACAGAAAATGCTGACATATTTTCATTTAGTTATTGATATCTATCATCCTTTCTTATAGAGACGGAACTTTGATTTAAAGTGTATTCTGTAATTGCAATAAAAAAAAGACATGGATACCTGGGATGTTAAAAATTTTTTCTATTTAGATCACTTATTTCTACAACCCTTGGTATGAAATGAGATTTTATTGCCATTGCTAGTTAATACACTATTATGTAAAACTTCCATCCCAATATTGATAAAACACCTAAAACAAAAATATTTTTTCTTGAATTTTGCTCATTCAATTAACAATAACTACCTGAAATATTTGCTGGTATAGATAACATTAAACACTAATTAATCTTATTAATGAGATCTTTACAACCTATCAACTGGGTCTATTGATTTTGACCCTTAATAAGAAATTTGTATCTCCAATGGACTAAGAATATAAAAATGACAAATCAACTCTCTTATTTCTCATCATAATCTTCAAAAAATGGTTTCCTCGTTTCTTGTTCTTCTGTAGTAAAATGATGCTTAATATCAGATAATAAGTTAATGGGTATAAAAGGGATGAAGTGGTAAGAGAAGGAACAGTTTCTCAAAGTTCCTATGCTGTAGAGTAACAAGATAGATATCTTGTGACATTCCAGTTTACTAATTCTATGTAGCAATTTTGGAACCAAGAATAAAGAAAAGGTAGTAGTAAATGCCATAAAATGCATGTCAGTCATGTACTTTAGTATTGTTAGCCTAAGTTATGGTTTTTAAATTAATACGTTTTATAGATACAAAATCAAGTTTAAAAGTAAAATTAATTACTTTCTGAAAGATAGAATTCATTCTAAAACAGGAAAAGGTAAGCTTTTATTGGTTTTATTATGTTAATAAATGTAATTGGAAAGAAAAATAGGGTATGTTGACATCATTATACAACTATCAGATAAGTAAAAGTTGAGTTTTATGCATACATATGCAATTGACAAAATAAAAAGTTGCTTACAGTGATGAATTAAACATGCTTAGTATTATGATGTAATATTTTGCTAATGTATCTATATTTCAATGTTAGTAAGTCAGCTAAATGCAAAGGTTTTCAATTGAAGCATATAATTTGACTGTTGGGGTAGTGTGTTAATTAAATTTAGCAATTTATTTTAAAAAGACATTTTTTTGGTTGATTGCTAAAATTTTCTCCAAAAGCCATCTTTTACTATATTTATCACCAAGTTGTAAAATGCTGAGGTTAAGGATTATGTGCTGATTGGGGCATTGAAAGCAATGTAATAAAGCTATTATTCAAAACAAGTCACATGCCCAAATGAGAGGTCTGTTTTTACAGCAGTAGCAGTTATTTGTCAAATCATAGTTGTGGTTTTAAGGGTGGAATGGCAGTGCTCACAGGAGTTGAAAACTTTCACTGTTTTATGTAGTTTAATTGTTACAGTGGGTTTTAGGGAAATATGTTTTATGTAGTTTAATTGTTACAGTGGGTTTTAGGGAACTATTTTAATTTGTGGAAATTCAAAATCACAGAATGGCTAGTACTTTTAAAATACTCTTAATTTGTATTTTATCAGAGCATATCACTAATAGTTTGCATATCTACTGTTCAGTATAAATAGTGTTTATTATATAAATAATAATTCACATAATAATTTAATTTATGGGAAGTAAATTAAAGGGACGTAAAAACAGAAAGCACTGATCAAACTGCATGATAATTTCCATGTTGTTTAGTATTTACATATTTCCCAAGTCTCTTCTGGCTTACAAATCAATTCTTTGTACTTATTATCATTTACATTAAAAGTAATATTTATAGGCGCCATAAGTTTTAAACATTTATCCCATCTGTTTTACAGAAAATAAAAAATATGATCTAAAAATTCTTTATTTATCTAAAAGGTTTTTTTCCCTTTTATACAAAGAGAATTGAGAAATAGTTTTAGTCATGCAGTAATAAAAAGTTTATTTTATTATTTGAGCTCTGCAAAATTGGAATCAGGCTGAGCTATATATTAAGCTTTTGCAATTTGTAAGGTTTTATAAAAATTTAAAAATATTTTTATAGTTCTTGTTTAGATGTTATTTAATTAAATGATCAATCATAATTATCATTGTTATTTTCAGTTGAGTTAATTTCGCCACTTTTTTTGCCATACCATATATATTACAAAAGTATTTATTGGTAATGAATGTGATATTTAGCGAAGGATGATTACTGTATGATTATTGTATAATAATTCCTAATTTCATTTAAAATAATTTGAATAGTTACTCCTCTTTGGTTTTAGCTGCAATTAAAATGATATATTTAGATCTTCATTAAACTACATTAGGATGATAATTAGAACAAAGCACTATTTCAGAGCAAACCTACTTCATTCAGTATTATTACATATCTTTTCCTAATCATTTATGAAAAAATAAGTAAATAAAAATGACTCCAAAACACTTTATTTTCTTGAAATAATTGATTAAAAAAAGCTTTAAAATAGTTTAGTAACTAAGTTGCACAGTATGAGTTATATAAATAATTAAAAAGTAATCAGAATATGAAGAGATTTTTGCAAATAAAAACTAGGATGAAAATCTCAGAATTTTAAATAAGACATTTTCACAATTGTTCAGAATGATTTTAGGAGCATGTTTGGCCTGGATATTTTACCACATTAAAAACCAACCAAACAAACAAAAAATAGACACTAAAGTCACTTTAAAATTGTACAACCTTCTTTGTACTTAAAAATTGCTATTTATGAAATAGGGCTAATCATGCTTGCCTCATAAGAAGGTACATAAAATTGTGAGATCACACCTTGGATATGGAAAATATTTTGAGGTAAGATATTTTTAGTCAGATCCACACGTAAGCTATACTTGGTAGCTGTGAAACTTAAGCGCTATATATATATCTTCAGAGATCCCTCAGCATCTTTGCCAACTCTTCTAACGTTAACTCCACACTTTGGTGGGGGGTGGGGGTGGGGGTGGGGGGTTAGAGCGTGTCTATATTTCTTTTCCAGTAAACACCTTAAATATTGGAAGAGCTAAGAACAGAAGGAAAAAATTAAGATTTTTCTCTCCTCTTGAAATCAGGTGGTACATTCTCAACACACTATATGTGAAATAATGAATTAATTTGGGACTGTTTTTAATTAGCTAAGATGTAGATTTTAAAATTAGGGTTGTAAGGACCTTTTCTTGAATTTATAGAAAATCCATTCTGACTTGTTACAGGATCACACCACACAGATGACTGCAACAAGTGTCTTAATTATTTGCTGTGACCTAGTAGATCGAAACATGACTAGTTCATTACTTTGCCCCATGGGAGACAGTATGAAACACAGTCTTCTGTACACAATCTGGTAAATAATGAGATAGTTTCTCCCCCCTGCTCATTGCTGTGCTGGATCATTTAACCTCCCATGTGTTTTTGTTTTTGTTTTTGTTTTTCTATAAAAGAAATCAAATCAGGGGAGGGATATGTAGGGTAAAGGGTGAGAAAGTTTGGACCATTTAAGTGGTTAGAGAAGAGCAATGAGTTTTGTTTGGTAACTTTGTTTTGTTAGAGGTAGCCATGAGAGCCTTTAGAGAAATTTTCAACTGTGTCTCCCCATTAGAACTTTTATAAAGATGAGAGTCATCAAGAATTGCCTTAGAGCCCAGCCAGCATGACTCAATGGTTGAGCATCAACCTATGAACCAGGAAGTCAGAGTTCAATTCCTGGTCAGGGCACATACCCAAGTTGCAGGCTGGATAAGTTCTGTCCAGCAGTCATGCTCATTTCTCATTTGCTTGAC